TTGGCCTGCGCTAAGTGTTTCGTCCTTTTCCAACGAAAATAGGCCTGAGCAACACCGCCGCCCCGTATACCCTACCCAGCGTGATACAGATAAACTTAGCCTAGTTCAGACTTCCAGTGTTCCAACAAAATTCACACTAACTCTTGCGCCTGGATAACAATCTATATCAAACTCGTGATACGGAAACCGCGCTGTTCGATCGATTATTAGAATTGAAACCAGATTATGTGTGCTTAACTAACAATCACAAGTGGACGAATCATCATCTAATGGCCCGACGCATCCGTGTCATGTCCCTATTGCCCTGGTTCCAAAGGCCCCAAATCCTACTTCACCGGACCAACTGAGATCGATCTCCGTGTGACTCATTCTTGTTCGGTGCTTTCATAAGATGCATGCAGATCGCTGGATCCGTAGATTTCAAGTGCTATCACTCTAGTTTGCATTTCTGCGTCGAGAGGATAGCTTGGAAGCTACATTGCTGTTACGCACCCTACCTCGTCGCTCTTCGGTGACTGCTTCTAACCTCGTCTTGGCCCTTGTTGATAGCTTGACAGTGTTTAGCAATTAACAGATCTGCCGGGGCGTTCAGATCACCGTCACTCCTAGTTTGATACAAAGTCTAGTCCAACAAATGCAACAGCTACCCTCAACTCAAACGTTCACTGACACAGACTTGGGAGGTATGGAGATCCATTCTGCCCAATATTGTTCAACATGATAGTTGGTGAAATTCTTGGATTATCGATGCCGCATTCAGGATGCCATTTGCAAGACATCTCAGAGGATGGCTTCATCCTCGCTGACGACTGAACCATGCGTGCAGCAAGTTAGGCTCGTCTTGAATGAGATCTTAAAGCTGCTGTGGTCGAGTTGGGAGAAGCTGGTATGAAGGTCAGCACTCGAAAGACGAAATGAGTCGTGATTAGTGAGGACAAGAAGCATCGAGCAATAGCAATCTTAATCTCAGTTTTTAGCTTGGTCGAGGAGGTCGTCACTTCTCTGAGACCAACAGATATCACGGCATATTTTGGCATTCCCTTTACATCCAAGAGAAATGGAATTTGCAACCACTGACATCAGCTGCTGAAACTGCTTGGTGAGGTGATGCATGCCTCGTTGAAGCCAAATCAAAGAGTGAATGTCACAAGGAAACATCTGATACCTCAGCCAAATCCACCGAAATACGCCGAAAAGTTTGAACAATTACGTCGTATATTCTATTCGTGGCTGGTCACGTCTACCGATTAGCTATATTCACGTCGGTAAACAGCGTTTGGGAATCGGCATCCCGAGCTTAAGTAAAACCATTCGCCAGCAGCGGACAGCGCGCACGGAAAACCTCTCTACACAGTGTTCAGTACTACACAATGTGATCAACGGTTCCAAATTCGGTAAGGTCATTTGGGGTCTCATTTCTTCTACCCGAGTCAGAGATATATGTGTAAACGCCAAGGAAGAGCCGGTAGCTGCTTGGGGCAACAGCCTTCAAAACACTGTCGTCGGTCGCGGTTCATTAGAGTTAGTAGCCTCTCTGCAGTCGGTGGCTTGTAATTCCCGAATACGTCTTTCCTCTGATATATAAACCCGGTATCCAGCTCCGGCACAACTTCTCAGGACAAAAGAGATGAACCCGGCGTCAGTATAGTGGCCGGACAATATTTTCTTGTGGAAACTGTGAGTCGGAAAGTTTCGTGAATATTCCGCAGTTGTGCTGGATCATGCATGATGCCTGGTCTGTTCATCTTAGTCAGGTTGCAGTGAAACCCGCAATCCGTCGCTTGGAATACATCGACTTTGGGGAGTTGAAAGCACCTACTTTGACGTCTTTCGCCAAGTCTGGCCTAATGGAGAGCGTAGAACTACCGTCACTGCAGTAATCATAGTCTCCGATAGCCACTGAGCAACGGGGTGGAATAAGAAGAAGCCGAAATATGGTGACAATGATTGTCCTCTCACCGTCATCTCAGCGCTACGTGCAATTAATCGTGATGTCTACTTTTCGAACAACCAACCAACGATCATTTCATATCAAGGGATGTGCTTTCCTTAATTTTTTAAGGCTGTTACAGTCGGTGAGTTGTGCTTGCTCGCCGGTTTGAGCTCTCTGCACAATTACGACATTTAAATGTTTGACACACAGCGTTGAGTGTCCATACAAGTTACTGACTTTGACACCTGGGCCAGTATGACGGAATATTTGTGTGATTTGCGAGTCTTTATTGTGCTAGCTCTAACAGCTCCTTGAATAGCATACAGTATTTTCATGAAGGAAACTACTCAGAAGGTTGCTTAAAACTCTTTGACAGCCCACGACCTGTTTCGCTCTTCTTGGGGCTCATCATGCCAACTGAAACATGAGGCGGCCTGTGTGCAGCACATTCAGTTGTAGAATGTCATAAACGAGAGATTCAGTTGAGTCTCTCGTTAAAAACCGAATTGATTTGATCGAAGGCATACAGCATTGTTTGTCTTTTTTCGGTTGCCGGTCTTTACACGTGTGTTACCATACTGACCATTCTTAAAAACTTTATGATTAATCTTGCCTGACTTGAACAGTGTGGAACGCCTCCCTCATTGTACCCAATATTTTCCTGCACACCATTCCATTTCTATCGTCTGAATTTACGTTACGTGTTTGTGAACATGCTCTTCAAATGACAAAAAATGAGTAGGTTGGAACGGGTTGTCGCCTCCAAGAACAGGCCAGTTTTGGAGCATATTTTCTTCATGCTACAGGCACATCAAACCTAGTGCTCAATATATCTCATCACAGGTGTTAGAAATCTGTCTACTTGCCATACTTCTCTGTCGCAATGCAGTGGTGAACTTTACCTGTGCACCGTTTTACCTAAATTCCACTAATTGACGGACAACCAAACAAGAGCGAACCAAACCAACACTATGCTGGTCTAACGACCTAGACCGAAAAGTGAGCGTAATATGCCATATTATTATGAAACCGATCACTTCCACTGTGAGTCTAATCCTGGCGCATCGTGTCCAGTGACTTTTGTCCACCAAATAATGTCTCATTGGGCAAATCTTATAAGCCTTTCGGCTAGCTAGGCTGACTGAAAATTGATATAATGCATTTACCGAGCCCGCCTTGATCCTTCAAGCAACGAGGACTTGTTCTTGGTTCTAAAAAAAACAATATGCTTGCTCGGCAAGTGTCAACGGAAATATCTGATAGATCGTTCTCCATCAGCTTCTCAGATTTGGGTTCTTAAAACTGTGCACACTTGTACACTCCAATGATCACTTAGGGATCAGGTTTACAATGCGGTCAGTTCGGCACGTTCACCCGGTAGAAAAGAATTCAGCCCTTTCTTTTCGGTGGACTATGAACCAATGGGTTCTCTTGGTCAGCTTCCTTAACCTGCTCTACAGTTATTTAGTTAGTTAGTGTCTTACAACCAGTCAAATCAATAAATGCAGTAGAGTTTAGTCGTTACTTGGTTCTAAAAAAAGATGACAATATGCTCGGCAAGTGTCAACGGAAATATCTGATAGATCGTTCTCCATCAGCTTCTCAGATTTGGGTTCTTAAAACTGTGCACACTTGTACACTCCAATGATCACTTAGGGATCAGGTTTACAATGCGGTCAGTTCGGCACGTTCACCCGGTAGAAAAGAATTCAGCCCTTTCTTTTCGGTGGACTATGAACCAATGGGTTCTCTTGGTCAGCTTCCTTAACCTGCTCTACAGTTATTTAGTTAGTTAGTGTCTTACAACCAGTCAAATCAATAAATGCAGTAGAGTTTAGTCAGATGAAAAAAACGGGCGTCATCGTATATATTTTGCTCCNTCTCTGCTGAACCTGACAAGGGTTACGTAGATGCAAAGTAACGATCCAGCGATTGAAAGTCGCAGAATTCGTGGCGTATTGTAGTTATGCGTACATTCATTCTGGTAAATCCACATCCAACAGAGAGGGAAGCACTGGACTCGAGTTTTGCTTCTATTAGGGCTGATCAGCTTTGCACATTAAATGGCCGAGCCAGGGTTTAAACTCCACAAACCTGACATGCGACGCAAACGTGCTACCCGTAATTCCACCGGCGCATGCACGACGCACCTGAATTATCACGTCTGAAGGGGAGAACGTGTTCGCGCTTGAGCGATATGATTCGTATGCCCGACACACCACTGATACGACGACCCAGTAACTGTCCTGGTCAATCGATTGACCCGCTTGTCAGGACTTCCTGGTCAGCGCTGGAATCCAATGTTTCCCCCCTTTGATGTGGATTCACCAGACTAATTGCACCAGGACAGGAGGACGGCTGTTCAAACGAGAATGATGTGGGTGTGAAAAATAGAAATCCCGCAAACTTCCCTACATGCATAGACGTCGAAAACTTTAAGGCAATGTTGACCTACTTTTAGTGGGCAAGACATTCGAAGAATTCGATTACACCAACCCCTCATCGAACTCATCGCTGTCAGTCCAGATTCACCGCACTAATGACTAATGTTAGTGATGTTCTCCTGTGAGCGTTTACACGGCTAGTCTGGTCAATTTTATCATTTCTGTATTTTGAGACCTTGAGATGAGCTCAGCACATGAATGCAGTGCCGAAAGGATATTGGGTTTGTCGATTCTATTTAACCGAAAGAAGGGCTCTTGAATCTACGTACATTATCAAAGAACGCAGTCGAAATCGGTGTTACACATCTCTTTCCATCACCGGCAGTTGGTTAGGGTATAGTATTTGTCCTTTGATCACATTAGTGATCCCTCAAACCGAACGCTAATAAATCGTCCAACGTCGTTTGATTGTCCGGTATTTGAATCCGTCTACAATAACCAAAGAGGAAACGAACTTTGTTGATCAGCCACCCAACTGTTAAGTTCAGACACCCGCTAATCGAATATCACTCCAGAATGACTGTCATCATCATATCGGACAACAGCAGTATCACGTCGTTGTCAATTTAGCCAACGATTTAACATCACTCATTTAAGATTCAAAGATGAAAAAGATAAGTGACGGCTGATTGAAGAGGGTTTATTCAGTTTACCCAGATTTGAACAGGAGCACAGCGTTAGATCCGAGATAGAAGTAAATGAAGTGCCGTGTTTCGTGAGTCACATAGCTGTGTAACAGAAAGGCAGGAAAATAGAACAGTGAAGTGGTAAACTATTGAGCAGTAGTTTGCTTGTTATTTCCCATGAGCGTAATGAAACAAGACTCATGCCTAAAATATGATACCTACAACTAGGATCAGGTATGCTCGGAGAACGACAAAGCACTAGACGATATCGCCATGTTCTATCGAAGATTCTCAAGATGTGTCTCGTAAAGTCCAGTGAACAGATTTCTGTTTACTTTTAAAAATTATGCAATGCCTATAGTGACCTTGTCGTTTGCAATGTGAACCTGATGCAATCAACAGTAGAACTTGTGCAAAATAGAAAATAATGACCTGGCATAAATTTGCAATCGTTTGTTTTCCAATGAGAAAATTTAAAGTATGTTATTCTGCCGACACAGTGTACTCGAGTTAGAGACCGTGACCTTTTTGAACTGCGTACCTGAGGAATCATGTTGAATCACCTCGCGTTGTGGCGCGTCAACGAAATCTTTCCATCTCTAGGCGACAGACATTAGAAATGCCCGAGTAATCCCAGTTCCACCTTAATGTTGGCAATTTTATCAGTGGACATGAGCAGAGCAAATGCACTTGCGAAAACTGACCTTCTCTTTGTGCATCAACCTTTGATTCTTCCTTCCACAGGAATTAGGTAAAAACTGACCAACTGTGCTGCTGTTCACAGATTCCAAAGACGAATAAAAATTCCACATGGTACTCAAGCTTGATTTTTGTGTATTTTCGTTTAGCGTAACAAATGATTTTGCGTACTACATGGCTGTCCGCACAATTTTGAGAATGCACATGGACTGAGACTGTTAGTTTCTTCCAAAACAATGTGGCTCGCTAGCATTAATCAACGCTTCGGGATTCGAGCCAATACGAAACTACAAAACCTGTATTAATAATCCGGTGTTTGATTTATTCATCATCATATGAATTTACTGGCATGCAACATTTAATCACAATTTACATGCACCTACAATTGTAAAAACGTACCTTCCAAAAGCTCGACCAACAATGCAATGCCAAGTCGGATTGTACCGCTTGTCGAATTCTTTTTTAATAAATGCCGCAATATCTTTTTCCATGGTAAATTTGAGCATAGCCTGATTGCACAGATCGACCGCATCCTGCTGCATGTTCTCATCCATATCAGCATTTTTCACAACCGCTTTTCGTTCAGGCATCGTGATTCTGACTGTTCAGTCGTCCCTGTGAACGCGGCCAGGGACCAATTTATTCAGTTCGCACGCACATGAGTGTGTGCGTACCAAGTCGATCGAAGCTATTGGTCACCAGTTAGTAGCCTGCCTTCAGCTTGGTTCGAGTTGTTCCTTCTATGACGGTTTCGTCCGTTCGTTATGAGTTAAAGGGGCAGTGATATAAGAAAAGATGGAATTCCGCGGTCGATTTTTTGGTCCTCGCGGTGGCACGTTCGTTTCGCACATGGACGCCGACAACGCAGATCGATACATTGTGCACGATGGATGAGAAGCTTGTCTGTCGATGAGCACATGTTTGTGTGCCTACACTCAATCCATTTATAAATAGTATAGTTTTCCTTATTCACTTAATTATATTCTTCAGCATCTTACGATGGAATTTGTGTGCTAAGGAGAAAGAAATTTGGCACTGGTTTGGAACTTTCTTACTTACAACTTGCTTGGCTTAGTTGTTTTCCAATACGCGCCCTAAAAGACCAACGTATCTAATTTTATCTCAGGCTAATTGGCCGGTGTATTTTTCACCATCACTCTACAGAACACTGTTACGGAAAACGAAGCTGAGCAGACTATTTCCTACAGGTTCTCTTACGTGGTTTTAGAGAGGTGTGCCGCTTCCTATGACTGTTTGGACGACCATTTTGGGACCTCCGACAGACCGACCTCGCCCAAAAGTTCCCTTTGCGTTTTGTTACTGGCGTAACCAACGGTCAGTTTGACTGAATCTCTCAAACGGGTGTTTTGATTAGTTTCGGCCAGTCGACTTCGTGACGTCTGACCTCTCTAAACAAACACGGGTGGGTAGTGAGGAGTGCAGTTTTAAACCAGATCAACGCCAAGAAGTCGCACCCAGCCGGTTGTTTGGAGTCAGAACATAGGAACGTACGAGACATCAAATGAAGTGACGGTCAAACTCAGGTCAGCCACCCAGCTATCCCGTGTCCTAATACGAAAGTCGCTTTCTAAATGCACAAGTTGCCGGCGCCTGCTGGTAGACCAATGCGGGTTTCATGAACACATATTAGGCGTTGACCATATTGAAAGTTAAACGAGATACCATTTTAGTTGACTCATCGAAATAAGATGTTTTTGCGCATACGACCCTGCAGAACCGGTAATTAGTGGAATAAAGTGGAACAAGTGGATCTAATTCCTTAACTCATCGTACGAGTATAACAAAAACTTATCACATCAGTTAGCAAGTTTCAGCTCTGTTGTGATAGATCCCCAGTGGAATAGTTCAGGTGGGAACCCATCATTACAGCCTCAAATTCGTTTCACAGGAAATGGGAGAACATTAAGTCAGCGTGAAACATAGAGGAATCAATTTTGCCGGTAGCCCTTCCAATTTAATGTCGGACCTATTACTGATGGTGTGGCGCATAAAGGACGCGCAACTGGTCCTAATCTGCAACGAGGCGTCACAAAAACTCTTAATGAATTCACGATTTATATGCGAGAGGCGGTTACCAGAACGTTAGCTATCACCATAGGAAGACCGAGCAGAACAGGCATTGACTGCGTGGAACGCGCAGACGGGTGTTCTGTAATCTGGAATATACCAGTGCTCGGTCAAATTCAACGATGTGCATATCCCATACTTTCCATTCGCCATTCAGATAACTGACTCCGGCCGCATTGGACGTGTAGCCTCTTATGCGGTTCCTTCGCAGGCCTTCAGCCGGCT